TATCGTCACTCTCCCCCTTGGAGTCCTACAGGCCTCAGCCGTCTCCTTCTCTCCTCCTCTCCCCGACGAGAAGCTGCAGGCCATTCACGCGCTAGGCATGGGGGTCGAGAACAAGGTGACAGAGCGAGGGAAGGAGAGGGGGAAGAAGGAGCGTCAGGTTCATTCAGCATGCAGGTCATCTTGCGGTTCTCGCGCTGCTTTTGGCCAAAAGACGTTCCCTACCTTCAGTGTATCCACCCCTGCGTGAGGTGACTCCTCCTTCTCCTCCTCTCCCTCCTTCTCTCCTTCTTCCTTCTTTCATCTCACCCTCTTCATGTATGAGGCTGGCGTGAAGGAAATCAGAGGGTTTGTTACGCTTTTCACATGTATTGATCTGCATTGCTTCAAGATCTTCATAACCGAGGCAATGCTATCAATCTTTGATTCAATTGATTTCCAATGCTTCTAACAATCTACAAGTCAATTGTTTTCGCCGATTCTCCTTTCTCTTCCCCCCTTTCACTTTCCTTACTTATGTCCGTGCCATTCACTATATGCGACGTCATATTCCTCGGCTTACATCTCCCACCTCCCCTCCTCTCTCTTTCTGCTTCTCTCTCACCTGTCCTTCATTCCCTCGCTCACACTCTCCTCTTTCCCCCTCCCTCCCAGTCTCTTTCCATTCCTAGACCCTTGCCAAACTCTCTCTCCCTCTCAACCCTCTGCAGCATCTTCGTCTATCTCTCACTCTCTCACCCGCCCTATCTCCTCTCTTCCCCTCCCTGTGTACGGACATGGGGCCGGGACCATTTTTTTTTTGCGCTTTTATTGTTATAAGTTGGTGCTGGCAGTAGCGAGTGCGCCTCAGATCATGGAGAGAGACAATATTGGCCTTCTTGGTAGGATCGACGCGTCTCTGGTACTACGGTACGAGTCCGCCTCGTCACCTCCGCGTCCGGACTCGGACCGTCCCGGGCCCTTCTTCGGGCCCGACGACGCCGGCACCCGGCCGGCTGCCTGCGGGGTTCTGATCAGAACATAACTGCGGCACCCGGCCGGCTGCCTGCAGGGCCCGGGGGGTTCAAGGGGCCTTGAAGTTCTCTAGCAGTGGACCGTACGCCCCGCGAGGAGACGATTGTAACTTTAATCAGACTCAGAGAGTAGAAGCTACCGTTAAACGAAAACAGTTCCTCCTCCTCCTCCTCCTCCTCCTCCTCCTCCGAGTCCCTCCTTGCCGCCTTCGTCATGCTCCCCCTCCTAGTCCTCCTAGTCCTCCTAGTCCTCCTAGTCCTCCCCTCAGCAGCAGCTGCTTACTCCTCATGTGAACTCGATGAGTTTCTTCTTTGTCGGGGGACGAGTCTTGACCTTGACGTCCCCGTAGACATTGACACAACAAGACAGCCTGACGCCAGCTCAGACGGCGCGGGAGAGAGGAAAAAGGTGGGGGAGGGGCAGTGGGGATGAGAGAAAAGAAGGAAGGAGATGGAGGCAGTGGGGATGAGGGGGAAGGGGAAGAGGCGGGGGGAGAGAAGGAGCAATACCTGTACGATCCTGGCATCTTACGTAAGAAATTCTCTTCGTCGATGGACTTGCTGTTAGTGTACTGCAAAGACAATAAGACGAGAAGTGGGAAAAAGAAGGAGAAAATAGGAGAAGAAGATAGAGAAGGAGAGAGCAGAGAGGAGAGAAAGGGAAACGATGATCATTGCGATAATTGAGTGAGGAAAGGAAAGTGACAAGGAGAGGGGGGAAGAGAGAAGGAAAGGGGAGGGGGAGGGAGGGGGGAAAGAGGGAGGGGGTGGGAGAGGCAAAACGAGGAGAGCGAGAGAGGGGGAGGGGAGAGGAGGAGGGAGGAGACGG